TTTAGGGTGTGTTCTCTATGGGTGTCTGCCAGGTGTCCTGGAATTTTGTTATGACAGTTATTCCTTGAACTCTGTAGACCACATATTCAGGCTTAGAAGCCTTTGCGTGACATTGAAAGCGTTATGACAGTTGGACTTGGCCTGCACTCTCTGTGATCTGGACTTGGCCCACTTTGTCCAGGGGCCCCAGGTGGGGAGCTGGGTGCAATTCTCCACCATCTTGGACATCATGGTTCTTCCAAACTGTTGTGTCTTCCAGAAATCTGCCTGGTGTCCCTCAACGGATCTTCAAGTTCAGCGATATCAATCCCTTCCCAACTGTGCATCACCCCTCCCCACCCCCAGGACCTGCAGGTCAAGAGAATACAGATCTCTACTGGCTCCCTCCATGCAAGAAAAAGTCACCCAAACACCTGACAAAGTCAGGAGGGAGAGACAGCAAGGGCAGACCCTAGCTCAGGGCCCGCATTTCCCTGAGGCCACATGACTGTCACGCCTGCACCAGGGCCCACACTTAGCTGAGCTGTGGGGGCCTTCCCTCGGCCACCACAGGACAGTGGGCAGGGCACGGGGTTGGAGGGGGGCTCAAATATGCTCCCTAGAGGATCCACATTCATTTTCTCTACAGAAGCTTCCAGGGAAAGCCCTGGCACGGTCTGACTCGCACGGCTCATCTGGGAAGGCCTAGGCCCACAGTGACACGAGGTGTCCGGGCCATGCCAGTCCCTGTCTTGCTGACCCCTTGGAAGCCCATGCTCCCCAAAGACTGCCCTGCGCAGCCCTGCTTCTCCTCATGAAGCTGACTTTCTGGAAGGTGTTGAATTCTCTTTCTTTAGGGGCTATGCTTTCTTTGGACCCTGTGGATCCTTGCACTGGGTTAAGATAATATTTTGAACAATGTGTGAAAACCATTTGGCTGACTGTGGTCATCCAGAGCCACCACCGCCTGATGTCCAACTCTGCTGCTGGCAGAGCCCTTCGCCCCATCTCCAGGGAGTCCTGGGGTTTGGACGCTGGTGTGGAGAAAATCTGGCCTTGGAGAATCGGACAGTGACCTCCCTGGGTATTGGTAGATGTTTCTTGCACTCAGTGACCTCATCAACTGCGAAGGAAGATGCGTCTGTATGTCTCCCTGGAAGAGGAGGCCAGCCGCCCGCCCCCCGACCCGTGGTCTTGGAATCCCGAGGGTCACCGTGGCCCCTGGCCCCCTCCAACCATGTGCAGCTGTGGGGGATGGGGAGGAAGTGGGAGAGGCCACCCTGCATGCCTGTGCTCCTGGGACAGCCACTAGGCCAGCTCCAGCGGTGACTGAATTGAAGGACTTGAGCCCCCAGCTTGGCAGGGGCCACCGTGCGGATCTGGGATCCAGGTTGGGATCCCGGGCGGGAGGGCGGGAGGGCGGGAGGGCAGGAGGGCGGGAGGTTTGGGCTAGGTTCCTGAGCCCTGCGTTACTGAAGCACCAGGAGACAGGACCGAAAAGCCACATTTCCAAATGACGCATCCTGCCTTCACAGACCTCCCACCTGCCCTCCCCAAGCCAGCCTGCCCAGCTGGGCCTACTACCTGGGTAAGGACACAGAGCTATTAAAGAAAGTCCCTGTCATGGGCTGACCTGTGTTCCACCCAGATTGTTGAAGCCCCGACCCTCAGGACCTCAGAATGTCCCTGCATTTGGAGATGGGGTCTTTAAAGAGGTAATTAAAAGAAAATGGAGTAAGAGGGGGACCCTAATCCAATATGGCTGGTGTCCCTGTCATAGAAAGAGATGAGAAGGCAGACACACACAGAGGGCCTCACACACGTGAGGACACAGGAAGGAGATGCCCACCTACAGAGGCAGAGGCCTCAGGAGAAAGCGGTCCTGCTGATAACTTGACTTCAGATTTCAGCCTCCAGAGCTGTTAGGAAACAAGTTTCTGTAGTTTAGGCCCCTCAGCCTGTGTTATTTTGTTACAGTGGCCTGAGCAGATCAATATAGACCCCATAAGAATGTGAACAGCATGAGGTGAAAGCATTGTCCAGAAATAAGAACCTAGGGCCCTTGGGTTGGGCTGGAAGGAGCTGGACACACCCTCCTGGAAGAGATGTGGCAGCAGCTGACATCATGGCGGTAGTGAAAACAAAATAGAACTGGAAAGGGGGGCGGTGCTTAGCTCCCTGACCCCCCCCCCCCCCGCGGCCCATGGGGCAGGAGTTTGGGGATAGAGGACACTCCAATGGACCAACAGGGACCCTGAGCAGTGAGGGCAACAGGGTCCCCCCAGAGGGGCGCCTGCTGGCTCAGTTGGTGGAGAGTGCAACTCTTGATCTCAGGGTGGTGAGTTCAAGTCCTACATTGGGTGTGGAGATGACTTAAAAATAAAATCTTAAAAAAAAAAAAAAGCCCCCCCACCCCACAAGAGAAAGGTGACTAAGGTGTGCAAAGCAAGGACAAGATGACCAACTAGGCTGGGCTGGGGGGTGAGGAGCACCTTATGGAGGGATGGCTGGATGGAGAACTCTTCACAAAGCCTGGAGACCAATGAGGGGAGGAGGCTGAGGAGACACGGTAAAGAGGTCGACCTTCGCTCTGGCTGATGTCTCCTCACGTCCCTCCCCTCACCATGGAGTGCACCCAGGAACTTCTGATGGCCCCATCTCCCTCCTGAGGCCTTTCTTTGGCAGAGCTCACTCTAACAGATGAGGGGGGACAGGGAGATTAACACCCCTAAGAGCAGCCTTCAGCTCATGACAGGCAGGAGCAGGAGTCTAAATACCTCAGCTCACTCCCCTTGACTGAGTCCCAGTCAGACAAGCCCGTCTTGTGGCTCCTTCCCTTCCATGGCTTATGTTTCTCTCTCCCCAACCCGTGTTTCAGTCACTGTCCCAACAAACTACTGTACTTGAACCCCAGGCTTGAGGTCGGCTTCTGGATTTGGCCCTTCTGGCCCCAGTTCTGTGCCTGGAAAGGAGATGAAGCCCCAGGGACCACACAACAGAGAGATTTCAAAACTTCCCCAGCTCCGCACCAATAAAGACTCTGCTTCCAAAAATCATGCTCTGTTTTGTTGAATATCGCCCCTTTCTTCATCTGAAAGACCCAGCTTTGGAGGGGAAAGTCATGTCCAGGTTAATGTCATGGCTTCCCTGAGAGGGACACCCAAGTGAGGTTCTAATCCTGGAGCCAAGGTGCGAGCTCTAGAAGACTAATTCCCACCCCATCTGTGGGCAAGGGCCTCCGCTACCTCTCCGTCAGCTCTCCTCTAGTTTACATCTGGAAAAGTTGACAGAAGTGAGTCAGGGACAGATGCAAGGCTCATGGTGGATCCCAAGGCCACCCCCCCCCC